TTTATTTCAGTTTACACAAGTGGTATCATTGTTGACGATAATTTTTATGTCAATAAATATAATTATCAGTGATTAGTGAAACATTCTTGGATTAACTAATATAAAGTTCAAGGATACTAAACCACTTGAGATTGATTCATTATGCATTTAGGGAAATATGTGTCTTAAATGTTTGTGTTTGTGTACACTGCCAATTTGAATTAGTGCCAATATTAGTGTGGAAAAATAGTTTTTTTTGTGTGTGCAAAAGATTTTAGTTGTATTCGTTCAGAATGGAATTGAAGTTTTTGGTTTATATTATCGCCCTTATTATTGAAGGTAATGTTTGAAATATTGAGTTATTAAAAGAAATTCTCACTGAAAAAAAAATTATAAACTAATGGCAATGATCACTTAATATAAATAATAAACATAAATACACATGCAATATTTTTAAAATAAAAATCTTCCTATGTCCTATACACAGGGCGTTTAAGATTTAAATCGCAGGAGTTGTAAAACGTGTAAAAAGCTACTTTAAGCAAAAAAATCTTATGATCATAAGGTCTAAACGGTTTGTTTCGAAGATCCAATTTTTGATAATAATTTCTATCATAAATCATAAGCAATGGAGGATATCAATAATTTTAAATTGGTACAATGTAGTAAATATTATACTAATGTTGTCGAAAGTTATGGGGGTTAGCCCCATTTTTGGTATAAGAATTTGTTACGCCACTGAATGAAATACAAAATTGGTTCTACTTTGTTTGATTTTGATCTACTTTAATCCTGTAATAATGTATTTCTCGCCTAAATATCTCGAGAAGTATCAATCCAGCGGGAAAATTCACAAACATTATATTCAATATATTCATGATATTTCAAAAATACATTCGGTTTTGAATTTACTCCAGTGGAATAACATTTCCAGTTACAAAAAGAAACCAGTCAAAATCCTTTACATTTTTAAATTATTTCACCATGACCAGAATAGCTTCAGCTAGAATTAGTTTTAAGGTGCGTCGACAATGATTAGAGCGTGCTGGGCCTCTATCATGTCCTTTCTGATATACTGCCATATTTTTTTCTGTAGCACACATCAGGGCAGATGTGACTTTTTGATTAAATGTAGTTTTTATACTGATATTTGTGGATTTTTATGTTGACCACCATCTAATGAAATGTATTTGAACCGAGGCTTGAACATTAGTACCAACAAGCAGTTAGCTGGAACAGCCGTGAGCAACAGTTGCCAACTGAAGCATTCAAATCGGATAACTTATACATTGGAAAGTTAAAAAATTTAACTGTAAATATAATTTGCTTGTTGCCATCGAATAAGAGTCAATTTGTGGCATTGTAACAAAGGCGCTTTGGTATATTTATCTATTTCCTTTATCGATAGTGGCATATCTATAAAGATAAATAGTCTGAGGTGCTTTTATAAAATTGTCTCAAGTCAATTCTTCCTCGATGCCAACAAAGCAATTTAACTTTCTAGCTAGGTTTTGTCTATTGCTTATATTTTTGGTTGTACTATATGTTCGAAGACCTGTATAAATCGTCGCGTTACACCAAAAGTAATCTGAATAATAAAGCATTGCTTTCCAGTACAGCTATTCTAAAAATATTTTCGCATAAGTTATGGGGTATGAGCATAATATTAATAAAAGTTGGGCAATAAATATCTTAAAGTGGTTTTCGAATATTTTGAAGGATTAATATGCAAATTTTTTATCTCAAATAATCCTTTGTTTAATGCATTGTGAAGATAGAATACAGAGTGACACTTCGGTACAATGTGAAATAAGCTATAATACACCATATTAATCAGTGGTTTCAAAACTTCGACCTCCAAATAAAACTTGTGCTTTGGGCTATTTAAAATGATGTTTATAATTTTTGAAAAAAGAATATCTCGGAAGCCGTTAATTGGAATTTATAAGAAGTGTATTATATGAAATTGTTTAGAATTTAACTCATTGACCAAATCTCAAAAAGTCCATTCTCCTGTCATCAAAGAATTATGTTACGGTAACCACAGCGCTGATATATAAAATTATACACTAATTTTGTTCACAAGGCTCCGTTTACAAGATTGAACATTATTTTTTAGTTTATTGATTAATTAGCTTGGGGAGATTTACGCGGAACATTCTGTATTTAGTAAGAAGAAAATAGTCAACAAAAATAACTGTTTTCGTAGTAAACTGTTTTTTTCGATTTAGATATTATCAAACATATCGCAAATATAAAAACAATAAATTAAAGAACTATTAAATTAAATATTATGAAATTCTAACCTTTGAAAACATTAATTTTTCTGACTAGCTTGCAAATTATTTATAAACCAGAGGGAACGTATTTTCTCTGATTAAACATGCCAAGTTTTTCATGTATCACTTCTGAAGAGTTTTCCACCAGCGTTGACCCCGTTCTCTGTATAGACAAAGTTAATTTAAACAAAGGTTTATATCATACAATAACCCATATTTACTTTAAAACGAATGATAAGCAGTGGAAAGCAACAGTAGTATAGGAAAACTCTCCTTTCGTAATTTTAAAATTTAGTGTAATTATTCTCTTTAAAAATATTATAAAACGAAATCTTTTTTGAAATACCCTTGTCTAAATTATTGAGAAACTTGAAGGCAGACTTGGAAATTATCCGTATAAGGTATCGTTTTTACCACAAATTATAACTGCGTAGGTAAAATATTAAAACTATGCAATAATCGATTCCTACAATCAATTGTAGGCCGTCGTATCTCTTTCCTAACGCAAAATTCCTGATTTTCAGCGGATTACTTCAGTGACTTGGAGGCGGTTAAGAAAACATTTTAAGAAAAATTTTAGTAGGTCTATAGAATGTTCTGATGAGAGAATTATAAAACAATTTTATATACAGGAGCAAGTTAAGCTCGAGATTAAGCAGAAGATTCTAGGGGACAATTTTTTAAAAAATAATATCACACAGGGCTTCAATTGGTTTGAAAAGTTGCGCGCCTTGAGTATCTGTTAACAAATTAGCCATATTAGGAGAAATTCCATGTAACAAGAATGTTTTATAAGTGCTGCACTATGTAAAAATATATCCTTCAAGGCCAGTATATACACCTCCGGGTAAAGTTATCAAACTGATAAATTTAAGAACAAAATTTTTAAACCAGAAAAATAATTACTATTTATCTATTTTTGCAGAACAGTTATTCCATATAAGAATTCACTTCGCTGTGATAAGTTTTTTGCAAAAGTAGAGACGTAACAATTACTATAAATCTGTTTGGTAATTAACAGCCACTCTACCAGAAGATGGATATACTGGGCCTTAAGAAGTTACCATACGACAAAGTAGTTTAAAAAGCTCCATTATACTCTACAGCAAAACTGTTTTATAAATAGTTGTTAGTAGAGTCAGTCATACAACCAAATATTATAGGTATAAATAAAATAATTTGTTGTTTCAACTAGTTTCTTCAGGTATCAGTAATATATTGTATTCTACAAGTCTATTATGAAGACACGGAGAAAAAGGGGAATACCGGAGCATAAATTGACGATAATTACGGATTTTGGTATGACGTTACTCATAAGAGTGTTTTTTGGCTAATCTGGTTTCTGGTATGATATTACGAGCGTCAACCTGTCTTATGGATTCCGATGCGACGTAAATCGTTCGGCAAATACCTACCAATAGCACGCGGCAAGTGCCCAACTCTACACGACGCCAGCCGCAAACTTCAACTTGCTAAAATTTGTTGTGTCTTAATGGTAATCCACCATATTCCTTAAGAAGTGTTGGTGGTCAGTAAAATGCTGAATGAATATTTCCTCCAGTGGACGGGTATTTATAACACTTAGCGATGACGTATTGTCGCATAAGGTGTGGGTTATGAAGCACGTGATAATACGCAGGCCAAACAATTTAATTTTAGTAATGATTAATGAACGTATGAATCATCTATTTACAGATATTTCGTATAAACTAGGTACAAAAAAAGTATTTTATGCTATTACATGAAAAGATTTGGTTATCTAAACATTATTGCAACATCTACAAATTAATGTGCTAGTTAGAAAAGACACAGTTCGTTTTTACCTTAAGTATTACACCCTGTACAATACATATGGTATTATACATTTATCTTAAATAATTTTTGAGATAACTTTGTTTTTATTGTAGACTATGAAAAAATTCTACAATTAGATTTGTGTTTTATTTTATCTGCACTTCATTTGTTTCTTGAGATACTCTGGAAAAAAACTATAATTTTTTTCAAATTATCTCAAAAAACAAATGAAGTGCAGATAAAATAGAAATACAAAAAACTGCTGCTCAAAAGATTTTAAATGGTGTTCTGACCCTTGCCCACACCAATCATTCTGCTGTGAATTTTGTTAGCGCATCAGTAATTATTAATATTTATTTTATGACATAAACCTATACTATCAGATTTTATAAATTATTCACATTAAATTATAATACAATTTGTAGATATTGGTGGTTAAAATATGTCCATGCTGTTTTATCTGCATTGTTTCTGCTGTTTGCATTATGGGTTTTATTTACATTATTGATTATTATTTGTTGTAGAACAGACAAAACAAATAGATAGTCCATGTTAACAGTTTGGTTATCACAATAGTCAATGAACAATGAAGTAAATATTATAAAGAACAGTTGATTTATAATCTTTTTAATTAGTTGCCTCGTGAAAAACATGAACTGAAATAATTTTGCTCATACCGCTTAACATATACCTGTAACGCGTCTTATTTTTATTCTAGGTTGCTTCAGGAATCAATAAAATAGTTAAAATGTAATTTGAAAATCCTCTTCAACTTTCACAGTTATCGTTAAAGTCAAATTTAGCTTTAAACGAGAAGAAATTGTTTCTTTAGTGCTTTCTACATACGCCAGAGTACTTAATATTGCACTTGATACGGGTTTCGCCAATCGTTGTTATAATCTGGAGATGATTATAACTGATTTTCCGTCATCTCTAAATGTTGCCATCCTAATGGTGGATTGATTAAACCGATGAGTGGTAAGGACATTTGTCTCTCACCCAGGAGTCCTGGGTTCGATTCCCAGTCAAAGAGCTAGAATTTTTTCTAAACCAGAAATTAATCCTAGCATACTCAGACATTGGGTGTGTGTTCATTCTATTTAAATGTGTAGCCCTCTTCCACACAAGGTATCTTGTGGTACCTTCAGGGATACAGGGGGGTTGTATTACCTGTGGTGTTTAATAGGTAGTATTCAGTGTTTTCGTGCTTGTGAAAATGAATATGTATATCCCAGAAGAGTTGCCGTTGGATCTAGATTAGTTGTGGTCAATTTTAAGTGATATCTGTCATGATTAAAATAAGTTTTAATCATCTCAATCCCAACTTGGTTGGTAATGTGCGATTTTAGTCATACAGTCCCCACAATGTGGCCTAAAGACCAATATTTTAAAAATATAGTGAGTAGTATTTGCTATTTGTACATTTCGCGGTGTACCCACCAGATTTGAATATTAATATAGTCTGGGGAACAAGTGTTTAAGCTTAAGGTGTTTACACAAAGGAAACATTTAATTTAGTTCGATCTCAATAAAACTGATAAACGAGTTACAAATTATTAATCCACCCTGTACATGTACTTCGGTTTTTGTCAGACATCTCGGTTTAATTTGTATCGCACAAGAAGGCAAAGATAAACATCGGGCACAAGCCAAAAATTGTTCGGTGTTATTTGAATAGAGGCGATAAAGGGCAGTTGGTACTTATCTGTGACGGCTATATGCACTCTTCACGGCACGTGATCGTACGCAGGTGAAACATAAACCGGTAAACTCCTCGAACGTGATGATGTACAGATGGCTCCCATTAAGAAAATTTTATACCGAAATCTATTATGTTTAAACACTAACCAAGTGAACGTCGATTTAGTAGCTTATTTGTTGGCTGAATAACGTGTTACGAGTGCAGCTGAATTAATCCGCACCTATAGGGTGGGCCAAGAAAACATTCCATAAAGGCATAGTGTTTTTGCTTAGTTATGAAATAAATAAACAATTATATATTTATCCAGTTAACGATTAAACTGTTTTAAAAAGTACATGGAGATTCATTATAAGTTGAAATAAATGCAGAAAACAGTAAATAATATCTGGTAGTTTTTTTTTTTTGGGATTTCGGTCAGGTATAATTAATTTTATTATTTTTTTTCTAACGCTTCGGTTTACTACACCATCATCAGAGAACTACAATTATAATATTTTAAAAACAGTTATGGTTATTTTACATTACAATTTACTTACACTATTAATTATTAGATATTTGTTTTAAATTTTGTTACATGTTATTGGATTGTCTGTTTTAACGCAACTGAAATATTTTAACGTAGGCTCTTAAAGTTTTGTTTATATTAGAGATAACGTTGTAAATGTATACATATGATTTGCTGTAGGTATTTTGCTTAAATAGTGAGTATATAATAAGATATTTTATTTCAAGAATTATTAGTTTGTATCGGTAAGATGTAAAAATTGAATTCATGTTGTAATGTACTCCACATTTAATTAACTTAAAATAGGTTTCACTTAAATTTTCTATATCAGTGCGATTATTTATGGCGCTGGTATGTCTTTTGATTTGCAGCATTTCATGTATGTTTCTTCGGTTATAGTTGGGTTCTTTTTCTAATATTTGTATGTTGTTAAAATTAAATCAGTGGTTTTGTTCTATGGCGTGTTTGGCTAGTGTTGTCGTGTTTTGGTTTTGAGTCTTTATGCTATATTTGTGCGTGTATACTCTTTTATGTAGATATTGTTTTGATTGACCTATATAGGTACCATTATAGTTGTTGCAGTCTATCTTGTAGGTATATAGTGTTAGTTTCGTCTTCGGTTGGTAGTCTAGGTTTAAGTTTTGTGAAAATTTTTTTTGTGATATTGGGCTATTTAGGGCTATTTTTATATTATGTTGTTTAAATACGTTTGCTATTGTTTCGGATACTGTTGGTATGTATGGCATGGACATATATTTATTATTACCTACTATTATTTGGTGTGTGGGTTGTTTTATTATAGGTTTTGAGTATTCTTTTTTTTATTATTGGTTCATAAAAGTGTTTAGGGTAGGAGTTTGCTTCTAGAACTTCTTTGATTTTCTTCAGATTATTTGGTCTGTATTTTGGATGTGAAAGTTGGATGGCACGATATGTTAGGCTGTTGATGACGCTTTTTTTTGTAGTTGTTTGGTGTGTGGGATTTAAAGTATCTTTGCGACCACACTTCTTTTGTGTACCAGTTAGTTTTGATAATTCCGTCCTTGTTATATTTAACTGTTAAATCTAAGAAGTTTATGCTATTGTTTTGTTCTATTTCCTTAGTGAATTGTAACCTTGAGGGAAAATTATTGAAAATATTAACCATATGTTTTATTTTGTCTTTTGGTAAGCAAATAAGGCAATCATCTACATATCTTTTGTAGAGATTAAGCAAAACACCTACTGTAAATCATATATATGTATACATTTCGAACGTTATCTAGAATAACAACTTAATTTTTCCAGTAAATTGTTGTAGTATTCTAAACAACTTTCCCAAATAAGTTATGTTGCTATATTTTAACTAACGTTACTATTGTTGACCATTTTGCTTTTACGCACTGAGGGCGCAGTAATGATCATATCCATTATATTTGTAGTTAGTGCATAAACATGATCCTCCAATAAATGTAAACATTATGTTTTTTCCATCCTCATTTTTAGGAAAATTGTGGCGTGGTTATTTGAAATGAAATACACTGTATACCGTAATAATTTTTACATTACAGCTCTTGCTTGGGTCAGTTGTGTGTTGGGCTCTATTGTAGTCCATACATCCTTGGTTTTATCCGGCTATGTGTAAGGAAGTAAAAATATAAATGATAAAGCTATTATATTTATGGATTTTCTATAAAGCTCTCAAAATAATCTGACAGAATAACTAATAACGTATATGCGTGTTGAAGTTGGCATAGGGATGTTTATAGAGGAAGAAAAAGGAGAGTCAATTTTTCTATGTCAGACTTTTATTGCCTCGCTCAAAAAATAGTACTATTATAGCAGATATTAGCTAGATTATTTAGTATCAATCGTTAAAATAAATGGTTTTAAAAAACATGACGTTCTACGTTCTATTATTATTAGTGCCAAACATTAATACCACTCTTTTAAAATCTCAATTCATATCACATTTGAACTATAACGTACTTTCAATGGTTTTATGATTAATCGGGTAGAAAAAGATGAATTTCTTTTGATTTATTTAACAACGGCACACAAGGACGTCTCAAATTTCTTAACGGTATTATGTTTTAAGGGTTCCAGTTTGTTATTAAAATTATTAGTTTTACAGCTGTGTAATTATTTCTTAGAATTAAATTAGAGACATTTTTACAGAACGGCGCAAAACTGACGTGGTAGAATTGCTGTTATTTTTTTTTGACACAAAATCATTGACGATGTATAAAATTTTATTTAAAAACAAACGTAGATGTTGGTTATTTCAACATCAACAGTGTAAAAAAAGTTAAACATTATTTCTCGGGCGGTTCCTTTCATCTAAACGGCCCAGCATCTGTGTGGGCTAAAGGCCAATATAGGAACGCCTTTTTTAACTCGAACCAAGAGGTGGTTCGCTATTGAAATCTTCGTACCTTTGAGCTGAAACTTTACTTTGTCTTTTTTGATATCAAATAAATTAGTCGCAATTATTGAAATTCTCCTAAAATCTTGAAATCTTTGAAATCACAATGAAGTTTGGTTGAAATTTTGAAATCTCATTGAATTCCCTAAAATATCTTTGATATTCCGGGTAAAGTCTTTGAAATCATACCTACAATCTATGAAATCTATGTTGAAATCTTGCAATGTACCTCGTTCATCTCCGCATTTTGTCATGATGACTGATGTATGGCAAAAAGGCTCGCAAAAAAGTTTCCTCTCCATTCCTTAGGTCGAAAAACCTTTTGAGGGAACTCGCATTCTAGATATAATAATACATTATTTTGTATATTTTGCTCGTATTTATTTCCACAACAACAAAAACATTCGTGAGCTAGATAAAAAATGTCTTGGATTTAGAGGATGTACATGGAGGAACTTTGTTCTTTTGAAATTAATTTCTCCAAATTTTCCCGCTTAAAATATCGAAATATTTACATAGCCCATGTAAAACTATAGTTGACAATATATTTCAATTAAACATGAGTTTTATTAAAGAAAAATTAAGCATAAAAAATTTTCATCCGCGTTTAAAAAAAAAATAAAAATTAAATCAAAATTTCATATTCTCTCAACCAAATCTTGCAATCTGCTCTAGATTCCAATCTTGAACACTTTTTGCAATTTTTTTTTATATTTCCACAAGATGACTTCAGACCTAGTTTTGGCCCGGTTGATTAAATTTTTTAAATATACTGCCAAACAAAATTTTTTTTTGTTTTGGAAGAAAGTGAGAAATTCAAACATATTGTTTGCCAACATTTGTTCACCTATTTTTGAGTGAGAAACAAAATACCACGTGGAAATGAATTAAAAATAAGGGAAAAATAGTAGTGTGCTCCGAAGTGTCCTCGAATATTATTGGAATTAGGTTTATTAGGTATATTTCTAGACATGAGTAAGGTATTCGACCTTGTATGCCATGAACGTTTAATAAATAAATTAGAGCTGTATGGTATTAGAGGTAAACTTTTAGATTGGTTCAGATCCTGCCTTCAGGGAAGAAATTACTATAAGGAATTAAATAACTGTATGTCTAATGTTTTAGAAAATTCTGTTGGTGTACCACAAGGATCGGTTTTAGGACCTTTATTATACATAATTTTTGTTAATGATTTCAACGCTCCGCATTGAGTGATGTTTGCTGATGATGTAGCCATTCTTATTTCTGATTTTATCATCAATAATGCTATTAAAGATGCAAATCTACACATACAAACGGCACGTGAATAGTTTACTGATAATATGCTTATTTAAATAATAGAAAATATACCTTTATAAGATTAATCCATCAAATGTAATTATTAAGATGGTACAATTAAACAGAAAAAATATGAAAAAATTTCTAGA